TTTTAAACCCCAAAAATTCATTAAAAATCTTAATTGAATACACCCCCTAAGTTAAGCTTTAAGATCATCTTGAGCACGTATAACACATGACTAGACCAAACGATTTACAAAATCTAACTTTTTTTCATCTCTAGTAATACCATCAAGTACTAAAAATGCATATTCACACCTTGCCAAAGAGACCAAAAACGAACATGAATAGATAAGCAAAGCAATTACTTGTTACTCGAGAAGGAAGTCGGTTTTCACAATATATCATACATTGCGAGGGAGCCGCGGGGGGTGGGGGGGTCTTAAATTGTGCCTTGTGAGCATCTTCAATACATAATCTTTTACAGGATTGGACAAAAAAAATATATTCAATCAACTCTACCAAACAAGCCATAAGCGAATATGAACAATACAGCAAAACAATCACTTGTCAACATGTCGAGAAATGGAAGACAATTAAATTGAAGCGAAATTTCCATGCAACCAGTCCAACGTTACAGCTTCACAAATTTGATGTAAAAGTTCAACATTTTTGCCATAACATTTTCTTCAAATCGACTGTGCTTAAAGATCAGTCCTGCACAATATACACCCTTCAGTTAAGGCAAAACATCCTTGNNNNCTTCAGTTAAGGCAAAACATCCTTGTATTTGCTTACATACTTGTCAAGAAACTGTTCCTATGTAGTCCCCAAAAAAGACATCAAAGTTTGATGTTCCTTAATGGCTTAGCCAATCCCTGCTACATAATGACCTTAATAACTCGGCATCTCGGGATGATCCTCTTCTCCAAGTGATAAAACAGAGCAGTAAGCCATCGCGCAACAATGGCAGGCGACCACCCCATCTCATTTACAAAGAAATCCATTCCCTGTGAAATTTTCTCTTCAGACAACATCATACAAAGTGGATGTGCTCTAAATGCTGATTGAACCTCAGCATCAGACAAGCCAAAACTTCTATAAACCTTCACTTTGTTCTCCCACGCCTCTTTACTACTTCTGCATAGCACAAGAACCGCTTGGATGAACGACGTACTCAAAGGGTTAAATCCCAAGCTAATTGTCTCATCTATGCGCTAATTCAACTTCTCGCAATTCAGTAGCACCAAAGAAGGGTGATTAACCATCACAAACAAGATACGACTAAGGTACGCCCATTCAACTTAATGCATCTACATTAGTAGCAATCAAGAATTCTCGAATTGCGCTTTATTATCCGAACAATGTCTTCATTGGAAAAATGTAGATTTTTGAGTAAATTGTACCAAGGGATTAACTGATTCTCTAGGCTTCTAGACAATAACCAAGGATTATTCACAATAATTTTGTGCAAGATATCACTTGAAAGGCCAATGGAGCTCAAGAACTCAAGTTTTGGCGAAATGACATTTCGTGGATGGAATTGAAAAACCTTAGGAAGCATTGAGAAATTACCGAAAGGATATTTATGTCTTTTTACGTGAAAGAGGCCTTTATCACTTATCTCCTTAACAATATAAAAGAGCGAGTTTTTCGTCTGCACACGTGTCGCAATTACCTATCATCAACCATTACAGCGTCGTTTTTGCCCTTTTCATTTCATTATCAAATCAGGCAATGAAACTGTCAAACTGAAGCAGGCTCCAAAATCTTTCAGCTTCCCTTTCACTTCTCAACCGCCGAGAAATTCCATGAAAAATAGCAGCAAGAAGTAGAAGAACAATAAGGCATCAGAGATCCAGCCACTGGAGATGATATTCAAAATTTACAGATTAAACTTTTAGTATATTTTTACAGATTTTAATATTTGATTTGTGAATTGCTATGAATGAATAATGAAAT